ACAATATAGTAGCCAGTCGTCTGGAAATTGATGTAGTTTGGCGTGTTTAGAAAAGTCTCTGCATTAATCAGGATGTCTTGAAATCACACAAGTGCAGACAATGTCGAATGCCTGTGTACATACGAGGTTTGTTCCTTGTACATTATACCTTCGGATTGGGCGGTGATAAAAGAAAGGAAGAATCACGAAGTGAAAGGGAAAGAGGGAGGAGGAGGGTAAGGTAAGGTAAATAGCACCACAGTCAGTCGTTGAACCACATCCTACATGATCGTGTTCAGCAGTGTGTGTGTGTGTGTGTGACTAAAGAAACATGACGACATTTTCTTGTTCCTGATCAAATCATAAAGACATAAAACTCGTCACTTGGCATGAAAGGATCTTAGTCAGGGTTAAGTAATACTAAAGACACCATATAATGATAGATAAAGTATACGAAAGTTTACTAAGATTAGCTACGGGAATAATAAATACTGGGAATTTATAGAACAGGTAAAATGAGAAACTTTAGTCATAATTTTGATGAGTTAATAGTGTTAGAGCCAGGGAAGTAGCGACTGGGAATCTGGGATGGCGGGAGGCACCTTGGTTGATGCTGTGGACTGTGAACGAAGCACGCAAATGGAGAAACAGTACATTGAAAAGAGGTATTGTGGGGTGTATTGTCTGAGGAAGGAAGACTTGATAACACCAGGACACTGACGACAACACCATCACTACTTATGGTTGATAGTCTCATGAGCTTATTTTTGTAGCGTTGATAGTGGCTGGTGTAGACTGGTCGTTTATAGCGATGACAAACTAAGAAAGATTACAGGTGGTGGTGGTGGTGTTAGCGGCGGCTGGTGACCTTGATGGCTACATCAACAACACCTGTACACCTCCACCCTCTCTGCTGCTTCACACACACCCGCGCACGTTACTGTGGGGAGGGGGGGGGGTGAAGGGAGGATAGATGTCGACGGTGGTGCAAGCGGAAAGTCATATGGCCGCCAAGTTGTGTGAGTCACCCATTAACGGAAGTCTGAGTGCAACACTGTTCATTCGTGGAGGCGAGGGCTTCCCGGGGTCTGAGAAGAGCTTGTTACTAAATAGCAAAAATTCTTTATGCTCTTTGTTGATTGACTGAGGATCTACCACTTGTTATCATAAAATGGCAAGTTGAGGGAGGAACATGCTGCGCGAGCGCGCACACACACACACACACAGTCACCAGCGTACACATGTGAGGTAAACTCTGGCGTGACTCAGTGGCAACCGAAAAATGACCTCACCGCTACCCTTCCTTCAGGTCAATACAGTAATAATGCCTCCACCACGACACACCGTTACTCGTCTACCTTTTGCCGCGCACACTCCAGCAGGGCTCTACAGACTTGTCTCTTCTAAAAGTTAAGACGAAATCAACTGTTCGTAAATATGGGAGTCAGAATAAATGGATGATTACATTGCATTATTGAGGTGTGTCAGCGGGTATAAGGGCGTTGTCCCAGGCAGCGGGTGTAAGGGCTGTGTCCCAGGCAGCGGGTGTAAGGGCCGTGTCCCAGGCAGCGGGTGTAAGGGCCGTGTCCCAGGCAGCGGGTGTAAGGGCCGTGTCCCAGGCAGCGGGTGTAAGGGCCGTGTCCCAGGCAGCGGGTGTGGGCCGTGTCCCAGGCAGCAGGGGTCCCAGGCGGGTGTAAGGGCCGTGTCCCAGGTAGGGTACGCTGCGTCAATATTGTGGTGAATCTCTAAGACATGTGCGGAATGTAGGAGTGAGTTGGCACACTATACTCCCCTGTATCCACTCCCCACCTGATGCCCAGTGACACACACACACACACACTGTCGTAGTCCTACTGTGTTTATGTAAGGTGCCCCGTGGCAACAGTACAGTAAGGTGGGTTAGTGTCCCAAATCAACAGGTCAGCTACACGTGTCTATTTAGTTACTGTTTTCCCGTTTCCTCCTGTAGATAAGATACCGCCAGTTGTTAACACACACACGATAACACAACATACTCTAGCGGGAAGCCCTTTATCAATGTCAGTTATCATGAGCCATGATAACTGATAAATAGCTGTGGTGATCCAAGTAACGAAATTGCACCACTTATGGCCAGGTGGGAAGAGGGTCCAACTACGTATATGCTAAAAACACGGAAACGAGTAAATATGTTGAGTTGATATATCAGATAAGATATTCGAGGAAGCCTGGAGTTGTGTACAGCGCACCACTGTCCAGGAATACGTCGTCTCCACTTGTAAACGTGAGTGAACACCAGTCGTCAGTACAGGCCAGTCCAGTTCTGAGTAAAAGCCAACACTACCATGACTCACAAACACAGTCAACAAGTAGTGTGTACAACTGTCGACAAAGCTATCACTGAGTTAAGCACTAACAAGCGTTGTGGCCACACACCTTCCTTCTGATGTACACTTACGTAATTCCTCAAATATACAATAATAATTGGTTAGATATTACTGAAACATGACATTAAAAAAAGGAACAAATTTGATTAGCGTTTCTAATCGATAACGACTTCTACGTATAGTTGATATTATCCATATATACTAGTCAACAACATCTGTAAAACACTTGTAATGAGGACTATTGTCCCAAACTTAAGGCAGGTGTCACAGGACGGCAGGTGTCACTTGGGAGGAGGGTATAGCGCGTGGCGGGTAACAGCGTGTATCGGAAGGCGTAATCCCTCTCGATGCCGCCATGATTCATTAATTATAAATCCATATTTAAGGAGGTTGGCCTCGCGGCTCCCTCACCACATCACTGATCTTTGGCTGGTGAGCGTTATGTGATCATCTTCACTGTATACCTGGCTGGCTTTATTATTATTATACACCTGAACACTATAACTCATTAGACAGTGGTACAGGTGATTACTGAGTCAAGTAAGGTGTGTGGTACAGATGACTACTGAGTAACTGGGAAGAATTAGTTATGTTGAGCGAGGTACTAGCTTCCTGGGCGTCATGGCTGCCATGTCCTTGATATTGACCCACTTCCCTCTCACCAACTCTCGCCTCCATATACAATGACGCTGGGTTGCCTCTTCCCGTTTTTGTTGTTCTGTATTTTCTCCCCCATGGCCATCCCCCCCTCTGCGTGTCTCTGTATGGTCATATTTCCTATAGCTTGTGTAATGTGTTGGTGAGAGTATACCCTCCTCCTTTGGGGCTGCCATCACGCCTCATGCAGTAGTGACCCAAGGTAATGATAATTTCTTCTTGAGGAAGTAGTGTCTCCTTCCGCACCTCGCTGTGGTAAACTGGTCGTAACTTAGTCATCATGCAGGAGGAAATAAGCTTCACTCACCCTTCCGGCCGTACCCAGTGGCCGTGTTACTGTGTACTCTTCCTTGTGTCGTTGGGCATTGTATCCCTTGGAGAATCTTGTTTGCTGCCCTTATTTTTTAGGCTGTTCTAATACCGCTGTAGGAGTCCATAAGGAAAACTTTTTTGTGTTCTCTTGTGACCCCCCCCCCCCTCCCCCACCCCCGAGAACCAGTTTCTTGAAAAGGTTTGATCCAGTAAGTTGTGCCGTCAAGCATCTTCACCTATACTGTATTGCTCTACATTCTCCTTCTCGGTGTCACACCTCTACTCCACATAAATGCCAACGAGGGCTCAGTATCTGACTTATGGGTAACACTGAATACCAAGAGGTCACAGAAGTAGGTCAAGATTTGAGTGTTCTAGGTTGCCGTGTCAGGATTCCTAACTATCGTGTCGGCGGGGCGGGGTACACACCTTCTTACACCTCACCAAGTGCTACACGATTTCAAGGACTAACAATTACCTTCCAGTAGAAACGCCGTCACACATTATTAAGTTCCACACACCAGGAATCGATTGTTGCTCTTACTTACCTTAAAAAATATTGTAAATAGGACACGTTAATCTTACTTCCACCTTACCCTAATTAGCACCCTGGATGACCAATCAGTTGACTGCAAATGAGTTTACAACCTTGTAAATGTGTTGAGAGGGTGAGTGAGGGCTCTACCTTGTGTGAGGGAGCATAAGGTTTGACACAGATAGGGTCGTGTTGTCGCTGACCTAATAAAGGCCATGCATGATAAGCCCCAAGGTGCGCGCTGCATGACTCCCCCGCACCCTCCATTAGTGTTGGGTCACCACTCTATTTTAGGCATCTGTCTGTAATGCAGGTAATTCTGATCCACTGTACATGTGTTTACAGTACCATGCTGATTATAGGGTGTTTGACATCACCAAACAGTATCAAACTCTTTTATTACACTTGCTGATAACACACGTTGTTTATACTCCTGTGGCAACACTAGAAGTTCACGTGTGTTTGTAAGGTGCATCATTGCGTGGGCCATTGTGACACACTTACCAGTATACTCCGTGTTTTATGTTGTATACTCAGCCGGTTGATGAACTTAACTTAATTTAACGTCATAATTATGTTCCTTATTATTACTATTATTATTGTCGGCCTTTCTTTTATACCACTGCAACTACCACCATTATATACTTAAACCAACGTGAAAACTACCACCACCATCATCATCATCATCATCTACATAACAATCACCACCACTATCATCATCTACATAACAACAACTAATACTATCACTTACATAACAACAACCACCGTCTCCTACTAAACAACAACTACCACCATCCGCACCACCACCACTCAGCATTTAAATAACTTAGGAATAGTCACCTCAAGAGAGAGTGTGTCTGTGTGTGTCTGTGTGTGTGTGTGTCTGTGTGTGACTATGTGTGTGTGTGTGTGTGTGTAATTCGGTTGTTTTTTGCCCTACATTTCAGGAGACCAATTATTTTTATTTAGGCTTTATACTATTCACCTGAACTAACACAAACATTAATCATCCGGTAGGCTACCCTACTAGTTGATCACGGTATTGATTCCGCTGCAACACACTAGGTGGGGATTTCCCGTGATACATACTTGTGTTCTCTCTCAAGTCTACTGATAACTAATTGTTTTTATCTTTTGTTTGTGTGTTTCAGTTAACTTGACGGGGAAGGGCCGTGTGGACATGGCGCATTTCGAACTGCTCAAAGTTTTAGGCACGGGAGGTAAGTACAGTAGCCTAGTGTAGTGAGGTGTACCAACAGCCTGGGGTGTGGCGGGTCACCCTTGCCTCTTGTTGTCTTTGTGGCAGCTCTGTGTGACCTTTTATTGTCTCTGCTGCCTCTTACTTTTTCTTCATCAGGTATTCCTCTTCTTCTCTAGCCACTGCTTAAGGTATTATCCGGGTCTTTCACACCTGTCTCTTATCTCTTGAAATATTTTACTTCATACATTAGATTCGTTATAAATATTTTAAGAATATACTCTCACCATCGTCTTTTATTGGCCCCTTATGCTGCCTCTTCTCGTATTTACTGTTGACCCCCATCTCCAGTACCTGTTAGTAACGTATGTTTGTAATGCAAGGTTTCGGTACTTCCTAAGAATATTTTATTATGTACGAGTAGTGACCCAGCTATCGGAGGCTCTCACGCCACGATATTCCCGCCCCACACTCACGCCACGAATTCCCGCCCCACACTCACGCCACGAATTCCCGCCCCACACTCACGCCACGAATTCCCGCCCCACACTCATGATAAAGATTGGCACTCCACGTGCCACAAGACTGTGCTTAGGAGCGAGCCACCAGTAGAAGGGACAAAGGCGGACCCACGTGTGTGAGGTGACATTTCCTGGTGGTAGTGAGCGATCCATAAATTGGGTAGCTGAGCTGCTCCTGTATAATCTGATTTTCTATTGCCCACACGTTTTCTGTAGCTCCACCTTCTGTTTTGTTTTATTCTATCTATTGCTGTGATCTGTTGCAAACATCTTCCATGTATATTATACCGAGTGTTATTTATTTATATGTCTTATGTTCCCGAGTATTGCTGTAACAAACGTACGACAGTCAATAAATAAGGTAATATTCGTATCGTTCTATTTATAATTTAGAATATTAATATGAATGCCATTTATGTAACATCCATACAAGTCACCTCTTTACCCATGCGCAGTGTTGCCACCCAGTTGAAATATCAACACGCATTATGGGACGAAAAGAGTGAGGAGAGCGTGAGCATCCTCAACCCTGGTGGGAGCACAAAGACTGCCCTCACCCAGGTGGCTGAACCCTACCTCAGTGTAGAAATGTAAAATAATTTACTCTTCCTCCCACAAGGTGTGGTTCTGAGTAATATAGCCAGCGATATGCTAGTTTCAGGAAATATTGATTTAAAACATGGCTGCGTTCGTGGAAATCGCATTTTCGGAGCACTGGTTCTGGAATCCTCTTTCCCAGAAGGAATAGGGCGGAATGCACAATGTTCCAATTTTCTGGAACTACCGATGCAAAACATAGTCGCAGCGCTCAGAAATTAAGCTAATGAATCAATATTTCCAGTTCTTGGAGAGAGGCGTTTGTTCTGCTGGAACTGAGACGGAGTTCGATCTCTCCAGGAATGTGTGTTACCCCGCCGTATTTACTAGGAAGTGACTACATCAGTAATGCTGTAGTCGAGAAGACACCGTTCCGTCTCAAAAGTCACAGATGCTGTTAACGAACAACATACAGTAGTGGTGGATGGTAATTTACATGTGAGCTGTTGAGACTACAGGGCTGTAGGGAAGGTCCACCGGTTAGGTCAGATGGTTACAGTAATAATTTTGCTGGGTGGATATAAATAATAAACAAAACAGCTACATTATCTCGACGAATGTTCAAACGTTTTAAGTTTATATAAACTTAACGAAGACCAAGAAGTGAAGATGGGAGTAGGCCTACATATGAGAGGCGCGTGTTTATACGACGGCGATGACTGAGGCACGATGATCACCGTGCTTCGTGAAGCCAGCTGGCTCACTCAACTCGGTTCCCTTGTCTTTGTTGCACTAACGAATCAGCTTGGTGTGGCCACGTACTCATTTATATAAGACGTAGTTTTCCTTATTAATGGTGGGTCAATAAGATCAGCTACAAGGAGGGAGGGGGTGAAGAGGGTTCACTGGGAATGCACATGGTGTATGTAGGGTGGTGTGTTAGCTTGGTGTAGGTGAGTTGGTGCATCATTTATGTTGCTCACGTGCCCTGGCCGGAGGTACAGGAGCCGCGGGCAAGTTTTTTATGGGTACGTGTCAGCTGTTTGTAGTCAGTATTAGTGGTAATGGTTACTTCATCACGTGTCAACTGTTTCTAACACCCAAACATGTTTAATAATAATTAATTATTATTATTATTATTATTATTATTATCATCATCTTGGTTTTATAAGAACTTTCTTGTGTTTTGTTTTCTTAATTGGCACCTTTGCTTTGAGGTGCTGTTATAGTAGTCGATTCCTTTGTCGCAAGGATCTAGTTATCTTTGTTAGAACTGTCTACTGTATAGTTGTTGTCTTTGTTAGAACTGTCTACTGTATAGTTGTTGTCTTTGTTAGAACTGTCTGTAGTTGTTGTTTTTGTTAGAACTATCTTTAATTATCTTTCTCAAAACTACTTCTGTATTTGATAACTACACTGTGCTTAAAAGGCGTTTCTTTGTTAACTATTATATGTGTGTTTGTAGATGTATTTAGTTAACTAACTGAATTTGTAGAGGTTCCTTTGTTAGTTTACACTGTATACTTGTCGAGGTTCCTTTGTTAGTTTACATTGTGTACTTGTAGAGGTTTCTTTGTTAATTTACACTGTGTACTGTACTTGTATCCGTGTCTGTCTATTAAAACCAGTCTTGCACATGTACTGACTGGCGTGTCATGTAATTGTTTTTATCGCGTTACAACTTAAGGCTAACGTGCGCCCTGTTGTTTTGACTGTGACTCATTCGTCTTCGTCGTTGCACTGGTAGATACCTGTTGTCTTTGTATATAACAACTAGGGCCCAGTTTAGTCGGTCAAAACGCACCAGCTGTGGGTCTGGAGATCAGTTGTGTGGGGTCCGTCGCGGTGCTCCTCTTCCTTCGTACTCGTTCGTATTGATCGTCTCTCACCCACTTTCTTCACTTTAACTTTGTTTCTATGCCTTCCATTGCAAGTTTTATCTTTGTTGCTTCTCACTTTATATAGTGTACTGAATGTTTTATTTAATTTAACCCGACTCATTTTCTAATACCTTAATAACCGCTTAGTGAAATATTTGTACATTTACAGGTGTTAGTATTCTAAGTGAGGCACTATTAAGAACGGCTGCCGTTAGTTTGAAATCGCTATTTCGCATATGATAATTTGTATATATATATATATATATATATATATATATATATATATATATATATAAAATTATCACATAATTCTGATACATTTATATAAGCTTTGGGTAGTTCCCTTAACTTGGATTATATATAAATAAGTTGAGGGATTAAGTTTTCCTTGTTCTTGGGAATTCATATAGTATGGGATAGAAGGGTAAGGGGCTGTATAACAGTTTATATGAACCTCAGTCAAATGTACTACATATATGGAGTTAGTAGATGACCGCCCCACTATAGATCACAGCCTCAAGTTAAAGATACTACTATCAGTACATAAAACTGTCAGATTAACTTCTTTGTAAGAATTTTGAACTCTCGAATAACCTGCCAGGGAATGTTGTGACAGCACCAAGTACGAGATTCTTTAAGTACATTCTTGACCAACACCGGCGCATGTTCAGTCAGGAGCCCATACATGTCTAGTACTTGCCAACAGTGTATAAGAGAGAAGCGACTGACCGCCCAACCGGCTAGTGAGCTGACAAGTGGCAAAGAGGATAGAGTATAGTAAAGGTAAAGAAATATATACCATGGGGGATTGAAATGTTACACTGAATTGGTTCTTAAAGTTCTATGAAACAAAACATATCCGTTCTTATTTGTCTGGCGGATCCAGCATTTTTTTTTCCAGAGGGAGGAAAGGGGGAGCGGCAAAACCCTGACAGATTTCAAAAAAATAAAATAACCAATAATTCCATTCCCCTTGGTTTTGTTTTCTCCCAGAGGGACGCCTAAAAAAAGTGAGCATGGCTGGGTAAATGTGTCATGACTTCGCTGTATATATATTTTTTTCTTTTATCCTCTTCACCAATTGATCGGCTCGTTAGCCGCTTGGGCTATCGGTCACGTCTCTGTTACGCACTGTTGGCAAGTACTGGGCATGCACCGGCTCCTGAATGTACCTGAACCTGCTCCAGTGTTGGTCAAGTCTGGTCTTGAAAGAGCTCATACTCGGTGCCGTCACGACACTTTCTTGTAGATTGTTCCAAGAGTTCACAACTCTCACTCCGAAAAAGTTTGCCTTCACAGTTTTCTGGACCTGCTGCTTCTTCAATCTTGAGCTGTGACCCCTTGTAGGGCAAGCGTCCGCCAGCTCCAGATAAGGACACTCGACTGAGTAGTGCCCCTTGAGATGCTTATAGACCTCAATTAGGTCGCCCCTTGCCCATCTGTAGTATAAGCTAGGCAAGTTCAGGCGCTCCAATCTCTCATGGTAGTTGAGGTGCCGAAGTGCAGGCACCAGTCTGGTGGCCCTCCTTTGAACATTTTCAACCAACTGACAGTCTCTAGCATATCTCGGGAACCAGACGGGGTGACAGTTCTCCAGTTGGGGAAGCACTTCACTCTTGAAGATCGTTACGAGGGACGGTCTAGATATCTGAACGACCTTCTTATAAGACCCAATAATTTATTTGCCTGATTTACCTTCTCGCAATGGCCCGAGAACTTCAGCTCATTGTAAACATACACACCTAGGTCCTTCTCACATTCAGTCTCAAATAGTGCAGTTTCTTCATCCCGTCGGGACATATGATACGCCTCCTTACCGTTGGTACGCCCCAGGTGCATCCTCGTACACTTCGTGACATTGAATCTCAACAGCCATTTCTTCGGCCATTCTTGGAGCTCACAGAGATCCTTCTGCAGCTCTTAACAGTCCGCATGGTTCTTGATTTCCCGAAATAACTTGGCGTCATCGGCAAACATTTATATGGAGGAGTGTACCACGTCAGGCATGTCATTTATAAAACAAACAAACAAACAACAGCGGGCTCAATGCACTGCCCTGTGGTACCCCGCTTTAGACAGGTACAGATGATGATTTCGTGCCATTAATCACCACACACTGCTTGCGGTCATGTAGAAAGTCTGCTATCCACGCGGTTATATGAATATTTCCTCAACAGTTATCTTACTATATTTACAATCAAGTTGAGGCGTATATGTTATGGTTAATTTATTGAAAGATGTAAACTTCAATGTAACCCAAAAAATTACGGTTCTACTTTCTGCCCCCACTGCAACCCCTTGCTCGTTCTGCATCCTCCAGTAACCTTACGTAAAACATTAAACAATAGGTACAAAGCCTCTGATAATCACGGGTTGTATAATCAATAAAATTTTCGTATCCAGTATGAAGTCTAACACTAACTTACAGTGAACCAGTAGAAGTACTAAAGTGACAGTTAAGAAAATATACTGTATTTAGTAGTGCTGTGGGACGTGAGTGTAGTCGTGTGCGCTAAGTACAATAGGGAGTGTCACTTGGTAGTGGTGAAGTATGCGTCATTTAAGGTAAAAAATGTGTATATGTAAGATTTTCTCTATTAATTTCGTAGATAAGCTAGATAAAAAGATTGATTAATGTATGATGACGTTCATACTTAGAGCTTCTAGGAGAGTGGTAGTGTTTTTGTGACCTTGAGACGGGTCGGGGGAGGGGCTCTCAGGACCCAGGGGGAGGGGAGCAGCAGGAAAACAAGAACTAAATAATCATATGAAGTGTGTACTGTACTACACCAATTTAGTGAAGTAATGGTGTGTTTATTGAAATCATATATCCTAACTTTGAAAAATATATAAGTGTGAATTATGTATATTCTGATGCGTTCTGGAGCCTGTTTAAATAATATGCTGAGAACAGTACTTGGCAGTAGTGCGTAATAGAGACTTGACCGACCGCCCAAGCTACTAACAGGCTGATCAGTTTGTTTTAAGATTATAACTACGGTATATACTGTAGACAGGTCATTCGGACACAAAAAGTAAAGTTTACACATTCCTATCTTACTGTAGGTAAATAGGAGCCACTCTTATGTACTCTTTAGATTGTTATTAGTTTATGAATGTTTTTCTTTCCTTCTTACTTGGTAACTTAACATACATTGGAGGCAACAGGGTGGGGCACCAATTATGAGGTATTTTTTGCAGGTTGTGTTCTACATTACACTATCGATCCCCTCGCGACCTACATCCTTCCTCTGGCCTACTTGCCTCTAACGTCGTTTTTTTTATAGTTGGTGTTGGGTCATCCACGCAACTATATATATATATATATACAGTATTGATTTCTATATAGTGGAATACAGCAAAAACAAATAATACTTTTCTCTAGCGTTTTCGCCGAAAATTTATATTTTTTGAGTTTTTCCTGCACGATATTCTGCGTATTTCCTCATGTTCTTTCTTAGAAAGGAATTACTGTACTGTATTGGTATTTTCTTGTTTGGCTTTCTTTACAAAGTAAATATTCAACCCTTTCTCCTGTCTTCTTGGATATACAGTATTATACCTTTTTTCACAGCTGTGCTTTTGACCTTAAAGTTATGCCGGGATCAGTATGTGATTATTCATTTAGAACAACAACCAGTTGATGTTCCCCATTTTTCCTGCACTGGTAATCTCCATATGTGAACTCAGAATACAGTATTAACCTTTCATATTCGAATTTGTAAGCACATACAGTACAGTACTGTATTGTATACTACAATATTTACGGTAATTGAGGCAACTTAGGCAAGTAAACAAGTAGAAAAAAATATACAGTATGTACCAGCGTTATTTTTGGTTCTTAATTTTGATGATACAGTATTCATACATAAAACATTGTTCTCGTTTAACATAATTACTTTTGTGTCCTTAAAACAATGATAACAGTACAATTAAGCTCAAGATTCATGGTATTATATTCTTACATCATTATGTACATTATTTAACGTGCCAATACTTTTACTTTTATTATATATTGTCTCAAGAAAGCCTGGAAATATTAAGACTGCACATGTCTAATAAATTCTAAACATTTTGTTTGACTTGATCTTATGAGATGGACTATATTGAACATTATATATTAAAGCTCAACCTGTTTTTTACAGCATATGGAAAAGTGTTTCTTGTGAGAAAAATATCAGGGAAAGATGCAGGAAAACTGTATGCCATGAAGGTCTTGAAGAAGGCAACCATCATCCAGAAGAAAAAGACGACAGAACACACAAAGACAGAGCGTCAAGTCTTGGAGGCTGTGCGACAAAGTCCTTTCCTAGTTACTCTTCACTATGCCTTCCAAACTGATGCCAAGCTTCATCTAATTTTAGGTAAGTAGATAAAGTACAGTGGTTTCTATCCTGACAATGTTGTTCAGTACAGGTATACTGTATAGCCTTTTTGCAGAACATTTCTACATTGCAGATCTTAAAGAATTATAGGGCCTCATCGGTGCTACTATAGCGTGCAGTCTACAAAGATATCTTTAGTCTAACCTCACCTAACGTAACCTGACCTTAATATCTTGTAGACCGCAAACTTTAGTAGCATCTACTCTTCTGTGTTGCCACTGTTTAAATGTGGTCTGTTTACAAGGAGTTTATATAGGCATGGCTCTCCATCATTGTGTTGATAAAATATCAGTTCACTTAAGTTTAGCAAGCTTAAAGATAAGGCCATGCTGCTTTAGTGAGCCTTTGCAAACTTTTGTGTGTGTGAGTTGTATTAAAGGGGAAAAGAGTGGACATTGGGAATTTTATGCTTGACACATGTTTTGACCTGACTGTACAGTCTTTCTTAGAAGACTAACCAACCTTGCAGACATTTATACATTACTGCTTGTGTAATTTATCCTGCTGTATCATTTCTTTACATACTAATATTTCTTTGTGAAAGATGAATAACCCCACATCATGAATTCCACTTTCACTTCTAATGAAATAGATATCTTTTGCTTTTTGGTCAAAGAAGCACTTGTCACTTAATGCTTGCATTGCAGTCATTATGGAAGAGGTACCACTGGTAAATGACAAATGAATAGCAAATTTTAGTGAATCAATACAATGTGTGTTCAAGATGAAAGGTTGTTGGGGTAGAACTGTGTACTGTACTGTACTGGGAAAGCAAAGAAACTTTGTCCAGTGGTTCGTCCAGAACACATTCATCTGAGTAGAGCAGTTTGATTACAGTACAGTATTTTGAAATGTATGATGATAATTAATGCTCGCTGTAAAACAGAATTTGTGTAAATCTCTGTCTACTGTACAGTACTTGTATACTATGTTCATTTTGATATTAAACTAATACATGTATATTTTTTGACAGATTATGTTAGTGGAGGAGAACTATTTACACACCTGTATCAGCGTGAAAGATTTCGTGAGGATGAAGTGCGTCTCTATATTGGAGAAATCATCCTTGCCCTTGAGCATTTGCACAAAGTAAGTTTTCTAATGATAAGTATTGTATTGAAATTTTGAAAATATCTCGTGTTATTCTAACCTGCTCTTAAAGATGAATTTAGTAATTTGATAAATTATATGATTATAAAGAAAACGTTTCAGGTTATCATAAGTCAAATGATATACAGTATTTCATTCAAGATTTTTTATTATTATTATTTTTTTCTTTCTTCTATCGAGTGTCAACAAATGACCTGTGAGAACTGAACCTCTGCACTTATGTACTGTACTTTAGCAGAGTCTGCATCTTGTGGAAGGGCTTGACTTATTTAATAGTAGGCTGTTTTCTTCTTTTGGAGAAGGCCTGATAATGTTTTTTCTATAAGTATCTCATCCAGATAGCTTTGCATAGAAAATTTGATCTCTTATGAATCAGTAGGTGACTCAGGTTCCAGGGGGACAAATTCCTCACACTAAACACATAATTAAAACTTCTCTTGGCCATGAAAGGAAGTTTCTGTGTAAACTCTCACAATTATTGTCCTTGCCCCAAACTGCCAAATTCTACTCTTTCTTTTCTCGTTTGAGTGTTTACCTTCCAGTGTTTAATTGGTTATTTAAGGAAGACAATTGTTAGTTAATTTGTTTATTCCTTTTATTTATTGTTCTCTTTGAACTTGAGGCCTTACACACAGTTAATGCGGTACTTAGGCTGAGGAGAATGATGTTCAATTTGACAGCTGTCTGAATCTTTTTCCCATTGTTCAAAGTGCAAATGTTAATGTTTTAACATATCCCTAGGCATCTCCAGATCCTAAGGTACTTAAGACACTGTACTACATTGTTGACCATAGTGACATAATTAACCTTAATTTTACTTAACCAAACATAGACATAATTTGGGAATTATGTGAAAATATATGGAGACTTAAATGAAAGAAAGCATAGTTTATCATAAATGAAGTACTACTGTAATTCTCACTTAAGTTATAGTAATGTGAACAACAATGCATTAATTATCCCTAAAAGGCAAGACTATCAAGAACAATGGAGAGTTCCTACATAGGCCATTGGCCTCCTTCTCTAGGCATGGTCACTCCCAATTGGGGTTGCCGACAGATAATCCAGTTGTGTGTGTGTGTGTGTGTGCGTGTGTTTTGGGGGAAAAGCAACAGATAAACAGAGTTTGGGTAGTGATGTGGAAGGTTAGTTGGGATAATAATGATTCTATTTGTTTGTGGAGGTTATTACCTGTATGATTACAGTGTCTACATGATCTTACTTATATACTGTCTGACCAGCTTGTATTTTAGAAAAATCTAATGCTTATTATTAATTTGAAACTATTCTTATTTACTGTGATACTGTATATATGTGTACAGTATATATAGTTAATACTTAGCTTTACTTTTACAGCTGGGCATAATATATCGTGATATCAAACTTGAGAACATTCTCCTAGACTCTGATGGCCATGTAGTGCTAACAGATTTTGGCCTAAGCAAGGATTTTCTGTCACATGACACAGAACATCGTGCTTACTCTTTTTGTGGTACTATTGAATATATGGCACCAGAGGTAGTTCGTGGAGGATCTCATGGGCATGACCAGGTGAGATATAAGTTTTTATTTAGAATATCTTTCTGGTAAACTAAATTTTGTTAGATAATATTACAGGTGTATTCATAATTACTGCACAGTACGTATATGAAATTAGTGAAATTAGTCTTCTATTATGTATGTGTTAAATACAGTACTAAATCATGTGAAAGATATATAAATAAAGTAACTGAATATAATATAGTATCACTTGGTAAATGATATACACAGTACTTCATGTGCATTACCCGTACCTGCAAGTTTCATAACATAAAATAAACAATCCTCAAGAATATAACAATGAGAATTGAATTTTCAGGCAGTAGACTGGTGGAGTGTTGGTGTGCTGACTTACGAACTTTTAACGGGAGCGTCACCATTCACTGTTGAGGGAGAGAAAAATAACCAACAGGAGATCTCAAGGTATACTTCCTTCTTGTTGAGAACAAAATGTCCCCTAAAGGATTAAAGCTTATCTCGATTAAGGAACTGTTAATGGATAAAGTTTTATAATAAATGGTATGATTGACTGTACATGATCAACATTATTATTCATATGGTTTAAAGGAAAAGTACTCTGCATGTAGCATAATAAAACTCAAATTATTATTTTGCATTTGAATATTTTTGTCCACAGGCGAATCCTGAAAACACAACCTCCTCTACCGAGTGAACTGTCCCCAGAAGTTTGTGATTTCATTTCCCGTTTACTTGTGAAAGATCCCCGTCAACGACTAGGAGGAGGCCCTCTTGATGCTAATGAAATTAAAGAGCATGCATTCTTTAATGTAAGTGCATATGACATAATTTTATTGTGTTTTATAACAATAACTCAAACATGAAATTTAACATGGAATTGTAGTGTGAACATTGGCCTCGCTCAGATATTTTACTTTTACTTTTATCCTCATTGCCAATGATCGGATCGTTAGCCGCTTGGTTAGTCAGTCACATCTCTGTTACACACCTGCGCCAGTGTTGGTCACGTCTGGTCTTGAATGAACTCACACTCGGTGCTGTCACAACACTCTCTGGGTGATTTTTCAAAGAGATTACAATGTTCGCTCCTAAAAAGTTTGCCCTGACAATTTTCCAAATTGTGGCTTCTTCATCCTTGAGCTGTGACCCATTAAACAATGTGTGGTGATCTATAGTATGAAAAAATAATTTGTACCAAAGAAAAGAAGTGTGTAATGAGGCAATATGGCTGGACCACTGCTATTTAATTTTTTCATAGATGATGTGCCAAGTAATAGTCATTCTTCGATACAAATATTTGCAGATGATGCTAAATTAGTCAGAGAAATTAAAAATCTGATGAGCTGTGAACCATTACAGGGTGACCTCTATCGGCTTTAGGAAAGCATACCACCTGTCCCAACTTGATGAAAACATTTACCTAACAGGAACTAGATATGAGAAAGATTTTGGTTTTTATGTTGACAATGACATGGCGTTGTCAGATCATTATGTGAAGAAGGTAAATCTTGCTAATAAACTAGTAAAATTAATATGAAGATCCCACACATACAGTACTGTACTTAAGTGAGCCATCTCTCTTTAGACTTTTTAAAGGTTTAGTGCGACATAATTTAAGTACGTACTGTAATTCTGCTTGGTCTCTCACGATTTACCAAAGATTGCCAATTGATTGAGAATGTCCACAGGGGGACCACCAAACTGGTGCTGGCACTGGGACACCTCACTTACAAAAGAGATTAAAACTGAACTTATGTAATTTCATAGTTTATATATACTGTACGTACTACAGAAGATCAAGGGGCATCTTAGTACGGTATCAGTTTAGAAGAGTATTGCAAATGGAGTTCGAGGATGGCCACCCAACTAGAGGTCACAGCCTTTAGTTAAAGAAGCTGTCAGTGCAGATAACTTTCAATAGTTAACTACTTTGAAGTAAGATATGTGAACTCTTGGATAAACTTGCCAGAGAATGTTGTGACAGTTGTAAGTGTGAGCTGACCAATACTAGAACATACTCAGACACATTCAAGATACCATGCATGTTCAGTACTTGCCAACGTTGAGTAACAAATAACATCATTTACCCGACTGGCTGGTAAGTTGATGAGTGGCGAAGAAGATAAAGTACAGTCAAATGAGGTAGAAGTGTAATTGGGAAAAATAAACTGTACAGTATAAGATATGACTTAAGTTTATGATAAAGTTGCTAATGGTGTAAGCTATTTCATGACATGATGCCAGTGTAATATTTGTAAACCAAGTGAATTGGAAGAACTGTACAGTATTTAGTTTGTGATAGTGGAAGAATGAATGCAGACAAAAATCATTTAATTATTTGGCTTTGTATGTAAAATGTATATGTAGGAAGTACAGGTGCAGTATTGTTGATACAGTGTTCACTTTGTACACCAACCTCAAATGGAAGATACTTGTATATGCCTCAGTGTGCTTGATGGTCTTGACCTAATCCAGTGCATGTGACTGTGGATGGAGGCCATTATATTTCTTATCTTTGTTTTTAAAATGTAGGTACACTGTCTTCTGCATAGACTATATTATGTGACCCTATATTATTTGAATTGCAATTGCATCAAGAGAATTTATGTTTACAGAGTTTAAACTGGGATGATCTCGCTCAAAAGAAAGTACCTGCCCCATTTGTACCCCGAATAAGTGATGAGTTGGATGTTAGTAACTTCTCTGAAGAATTCACAGCAATGGTTCCCCAGGATTCTCCAGCTATTGTTCCTCCAGATATTGACAAAATATTTAATGTAAGTGTTAAAAAAAAATTCTTATACTCTCTTGCAGTGTTGAAATTTATCATTAGTGATCCATGTTCAATCCAGTCTTTTGTACTCAAAACAGATTTCTATCTCATAAGTTTTAATTGTTGATGAATTAGTGTAGTTACTAACCTAGTTACATGCCTAAAGACCTCAGTTGTTAAACCACAATAATAAATAGTATGAATGTCAATGTACTCAAGTATAATTTGTTTTTAAAAATACAGTGATCCCTCAGTTAACGAATTACCTTCCATAAGAATATTCAATTCGGTTAACGAAAAAAATTCGGTTAACGAATTCCTTACGAATTTTTCCCAACATGTTTTCGCCTGCTTTCGCCTGCTCACCAGCTGTAGTATTAGTCCGCCAATACAGTAATCGGTTTTAGGGCTTAAATTCTTTACCTTTTGAGTAAATATCAAGTAGGTTGTACTATTCAATAATTTTCCAAGTCTTATATTAAATTTTTTAGTCATTTTAACAATTATCTAACATAATTGAAGTACAGGGAAATAGTTTTTAGCGCGCCAAACAACCACTTGACTCACCCAGAATGGCGTCAGTTTGTGTCTCTGCTCAGTGGAGGAAGCATCTTGCTTGAGACTCTCTTGAACATAAACTATTTTTACATTTTTACAGTACAATTATTGGTCATTCTGAAATTTATTTTACATATTGACAATGTATAATGCAGTGCAGTGTTGATTTAAAGAAAATAATCTTGAATTACACCAAGTGAACTTAAAATTTTATGGGTGAAATGGCAGCATGAAGCGTGGGGTAACTTCTCTTCCACCCCACTGCCTTCTCTTCTCCCTTTTCCTTCACCTCCACTTGTAATACCCATCATCATCATCATCAACCATGAGCCTTCTACATGCACACCTCACAGTAAATGTACTTTTAGGTAAGTGAGCTGGAACCAATTACCCAAAAACCCATTGAAACAATGGTTTCGGTTAACGAAATTTTCCGCTAACGAACGACCTTCTGGAACGAATTGTGTTTATTAACCGAGGGCCCACTGTACCAATAAGGATCTTTTATTTTTATTTTTTACATTTTTTATTTTTTAGGGATACTCCTACGTGGCACCATCGATTCTCTTCACAGAAAATGTTATCAGTGATTCTCTGTTCAAGATGTCACCAGACAGAAGACCCTCCACAACTAACCTCATGGCTTGCAGTTTTAAGGTTAGTAGTGCAGTAGTTCATAATGTGTCAAGACACTTCGGTTACCAATAAGCTACTTTACTTTTACCTGTAGTATAGAGATAATAATATCATCTTAGTTTAGAATGGTTTTGATAATTGGGATATTAATGATCTTACATTTTTATTATATACTGTATACAGTTTTTACTAAACTCTTTTCAATGAATAATAGCTTATATATTAATAGGGGGGTGTACTGCTTTAGCTTTTTATATCCTACGAGTCATTGAGGAGTTACCTGTGAGATTTTTTCCGTTAGAACAATTCCAAACAGTAACCTGTCATATCCACGCTGCTCTGACTTGTGCAGCAGCAATTAGTTAAATGACCATATGGTTCAGTGTAATGTACTGCAGAGCAACTCCTCACTCTTAAAACTAGGTTCAAGTCTGTGTATTGAACATATAGTCCCAAGAGTGTGTGTTTGAAAGTCAGCAAAGGCGTAGGTTTACCTGCACAAAGTACTGTAATGTTAAGCTGGATAAATCATTCACTGACTCTGTGAACCAGACCATTCATCAACAACACCTGAGCAAAAAAAATAGAATATAGCAAGGTAACATATAGCAAGATCTATCTGTATAGTACAATGAACCAGTAGTACTGTATACTGTATGTGTGTTATTACAATATTTACTTAGAATTTAATCATAACAATATTTTCCAGGATTCCTCATTTTTTCAACACTATGAACTGGACCTGAGAGAAAGTATACTAGGAGAGGGCAGTTTTAGTGTGTGTCGTGAATGTATCCAAAAGTCTACTGGGCGACATTTTGCTGTCAAAATTGTTTCCCGGAGACTGGATTGTCAACAAGAGATAAATCTTCTCCGTGCATGCCAAGGACATTCCAACATTGTTACCTTCCATGAAGTTTTCTATGATGAGGTAAATTGATGTGAATTTTTTGTGTTGAAATTTCTTAGTTATCCACTTGATGGACTTGAGCCTGTAATTTCCAGTTTTGTTCTTTTTCTTCGTAAAATTTAAATGTCTGTAGTTGTATTACATGTTTATTTTCACATTTTATTTCCAAGTAAATCCCCATAGTTACCTTACAGTACAGTATACAGTATATCAGAATTGCATTGTTTTTAAAAAAAATATATCAGTTTCCTTAAATGTAGGCATGATGGGTAGGTAAAAACTAAATACCGTACTGAAAACTGAGAGACAAAAATGTAGAAATCCACTAAAGTTTTCAGCATACACTCAAGATACGAGTGCTTTTGGAAGTCATATACAGTATTAGTATTGTTTATTACATATATTTGCCAGTTTTTAAGTAATTCACTTTATTACAGGCGCACACATACATAGTCATGGAGCTACTAGAAGGAGGAGAATTACTTCAGCGTATTAGAAAACATGAACGATTTACAGAGGCACAAGCATCCGTGATTATGAGAAGCTTAGTATCTGCAGTTCACTATATGCACAGAAGAGGCATTGTACACAGAGACCTGAAGCCTGAAGTAAGACATAGAGTATGGTTTGGTTTTAAAGTGCTTTTAAGTTTATTCTCTTCCCTTATTTAGAAATGTTAAAAAACTTGCATAGTTCTGTACACACAAAGGTTATGGGTACCTTATATAGCAGTTAGATTTTGAAATCTTAATATCTGGTGGGTTTACAGTATTTAGAAAACATACAATATAGGTACAGTGTATTTATAATGTACTGTATTCATGTTGCTTTGATAGGAATGTGCTTGGGGTATTAGCTGGCATTCCTTTATAATATCACTCATGGCTGAACACACTGTCTTGGTCAAACAAAACTCTCCCTTTGTGAAACACTGTACAGTACTGATTAATATGTGGAGTATAAAAGTACCAATTATCAATACATATTTAAATACAGTGTTTTATTGTCATTTCTGGTTGTTTGGTAGTCAATGTAAATATTAATATATTCAAACTTTAATACTGTACAGTGCAATAGTTTTTTATTTAATACAAATGTGTCGGAGGGAATATTAGTATACTGTACAGTATTTAAGTTGATGTGTTGTTATATTTTCTAGCATGTTTGTGATGGGGATTTTATTAATATGTGTTTATGTTGTGGTCATTGAAGTTAGTCAAGTTACTGAGCATCTTTTGCTTTCTCTTCTCGACATCTGCAGAGGAATTTGCTGAAGCTCTGCTAGTATTTATATTTTGTCATTGTGAAGGGAATGATCCAATTTTCAAAGATATAATCCAAAGACAAGACAAGAGGGCAGCTTGTACACCTGTGCTGGGATGCCATGTTGTTTACTGTCTTCAACTTTGTTGCCAAAAGGAAGGCTAATACTGTAATTTAGAGGTGAAATTAACTGTGCATAGTCATCTTAAGCAAGGTGAATGATATTGATAATGCACAGATTGAGTATCTAATGTCATACAAAACATTTTAAAGTTTGTGTCCAATTACCTATTGGTGAGGAATGCTTCTCCTCTTATCACATGTACATTTCTGTGCACTAAATAATGGATGGCTGTTTTGTTCTGTTTTCTTTATTTGTTCAAGGGAAATGTAAATATTTTATATTCAAGGAGGAGTATTTATGAATAGCATTGTCCATTAATAACCTTGGACTGTAAGTCGTAATTGCTATATAAAGAGAGATGTTATTATATATAGTACAAATAATTGATTTTGAAAGTACTGTACAGTTGTTCATATATTTAGTTCTTCAAATAAAAAATTAATGTATTTCATTGCTAATCCCTTACTCTCTAAATATGTTTGTTTTAAAATAACAATCATGGTTTACTCTGTCTAATATTAAATGAAAATCCTTTTCACATGTAATTTCATTTGCTAAATAACAAAGTAGAAAGCACAAATTAATAATCTTTTTATTTATTTTCCCACAGAATCTCCTGTTCAGAAATGCCTCAGAAGACTCGGAGATTAAAATTGTAGACTTTGGGTTTGCTCGCATGATGCCTGATAAAGATAAAGATGGAAGCATGAAGACCCCATGCTTCACGCTTCACTATGCAGCTCCTGAGGTGTTGCGTCAAGCAGTTCAGCAGGGAGCAGCTGGTTATGATGAAACCTGTGACTGGTGGAGTTTAGGCGTTATTTTAGTAAGTGCATTTTCTCTGATAAATCTTTGTTAAACTTAGTTATTTTTAAACTTTTAAGTTTCTAAGTTATATAACATACTTTAATGTCAGAAATCCTAACCTAACCCATTAAAGTGAATAAATACACTTAATTTTTCATGGATTAGAGTATCAGTAGAAATAAGTCAACAGTACGTACTACTATATTCTTTGATGGAAGAGCAAATGCCTGAGATAGAGAGAGTTGCACTACTGTATATTAAAGAGTATCCTGTATTGCAGTATTGGTTATAAAGAGAAAGCACTACACTGCACTAATTACAGTACTGTACTGTATATGCCTTTGAAAAAGTTATATGACTACTGGGGGCCAAGTTTGATGGGAAAATACCTGTATTTGGATTTGTGATTCACGTTTGTACAAGTCAATGAGAAAAATCCCAATGAAACAAAATTTATAGCTAAACAGAAACTGTACAAGGACTTGGTCAAGTAATTGCATCCTTAAATTAATTATACATAATTTTCTTTTCAGTATACAATGTTGTCAGGTAGAGCACCTTTCCAATCTAGAAGTAAAGACGACACCTCAGCGTCCATCATTGCAAGGATTAAGGGTGGAAGTTTTGACATGTCTGGGCCAGAGTGGCTCACTGTTTCATCACAAGCCAAGAAAATAATCAAAGGTATAGTATTAACACTACAGCATTTAGGATGTACAGTAAAAATTTTAATGTATTTTTTGTGTTACACCATTTGTATTTATCATAAAACAAACTATGGAAAGTTCAGTACTGTACCTGGTAACTTTGGAATTATTTGATGTACATTATTATTATTATAATTATCCTCAACAGATGGCAATACAAGCAGGCATGTCATCTATTACCAAATATTTAAGATTATTGTACAGTGTTAATATTTAATATTGTATTGCCTTCCACAAATTGTCGAAGGTGTAAATACTTTAAAAAATAAACGAATAATCAGGGATTACTGTCAGCTTATTGTAAGTTCAGTGATGTAAGTTATTCTAATGAGCAAATTTCACACAAAAAGGAATGTTGATGCTATACCTTGAAGAAATGGATATTACTGTTACCGTACGAGGTCTGTCCAAAAAGAAACCAAACTTTTTAAATAGTGCGCAGAGTGCTCACGACGGGAGCACTGTGTAGCGTGTAGCGGTGACCTTGACCTTTAGTCTAACACTAGCCGCATCACGCCATGTCAATTAGTCATCGAGCTACACTTGCTAGAGTGAACGTGTGTTTAGTGCACTTGGCGATTTGTTGCAAGTTGAACAAAGAAGGATCTTGAAGAGCAACTTGTTGGCGTGAAATTCTGTTTCTAATTGGGAAAAACTTTTAAGGAGACTTTTGAAATGTTGCAACAGGCTTATGGGGAGGATTGTTTGAGCCGTACGCAATGTCACGTGTGGTACCAGCGTTTCGAAAGGGGAAGAACATCCACCGAAGACGATCCCAAATCTGGACGTCAGAGTTCCTCAAATATGGAGGTGATGTTGATCGTTTTTTTGGTTGGAAGGGCGTCGTTCATCATGAGTTTGTTCCACGTGGTCAGACAGTCAATAAAAAGTTTTACTTGGAGGTCCTGAAGCGTTTGAGGGAGGCAGTGCGAAGGAAGAGGCCTGAGGCGTGGACACACAAGACCTGGATGTTGCACCGACAATGCACCTGCTCACGCGCCGCTCCTTATCCGTGACTTTTTGGCAAAGCGCAAGATGACTATCGTTCTCCAGCCGCCCTACTCTCCGGATGTGTCCCCTGCGGACTTTTTTTGTTCCCAAAGTTGAAATCCATCCTGAAAGGTCGCCGATTTCAAACGATAAAGAGGTAGAAGAAAATTCGCAACAAGACTTGCACGCCATCCCTCAAAACGCATTCCAGAACTGGAAAAAAACGTTGGGAGCGGTGTATCAACAGTGGAGGGGAGTACTTTGAAGGAGACAAGTCTGATTAAGTTGTAAGTAAAGCAATAAATTAGTTTTTTAAAAGTTCGGTTTCTTTTTGGACAGACCTCGTACATTCAGTGAAAAATATTATTACTTATTTGTGTGTGCATATATGACAAGCTTTGTTTTGGTAGCTTGTTAGATGAATTTAAAAAAAAAAAGAGAGTGATAGGTGTCTCATTAGATGAATATGGAAATATGCTTGGGATCATGGTGTGTGTTACAGGTTTCCCAAATCACCCATTTGTAACATAGAAGGCAAATGGTATTTAAGTAGCTGTTTGAAAAGGCATATGGTAAATCACAATTACTGGATTCATATATCATAATTATACGGGTAGAGATTTGAGTGATTTCCCTTAACTTTATTGATCTACATAATTGTAACTTTTTTTTCAGGACTTTTAACAGTAGATGCCTCTAGACGTTTGACTATCGGTGAGCTGCTCCAAGATGAGTGGCTACAAGGTGGACCACCCTCTGTGTTCTCAGCCACTCCTCTCATGACCCCCACCATCCTCAGTGCCCGACCTACACTGAATGGCCCTGTATCGGCTGAAGCAGGGGTTAAACAAGCTTTTCATGCATTCCATATGGCTACTAGAGAAGGATTCCGATTACTGGTAAGTGGAGATGAAAACTTTTAAAATTTTTGGTAAAGACTGATTTCACCTTATACTGTATACTGTAGTTCAGTATACAGTTCTGTACAAAAAGGAAGAATCAAGCAAAATTGTTTGTACACATTTCATTGTACAGCTGATGTTATATACCATAAGTTCTGTATTTATGGGTGGTTAAGATTGCCATAATGGAAGATGCCTGAAACCCTAGACTTTTATTCCCATTATAAATCCAATAAATTGTTACCTAATCACTTCAACAGTACAGCTTTTATATAGTAACTATCATACAAGTATTAATGTACAGTTGATTGTACTGTACACTACCAGCCATCTGCATCACCAACCATCAACACTACCAACACTCCTCAGCCACTAGGCCACTTCTATAAATCTCACTGAGTGGCTTAACACCCTCTAAGGGCAACATTATAGTGCTTCAACTTATGCCACTACCAGGACGCATCTACATCTACACACAAAATTTACTGACCTAACAGTCCCCAAGACAAACTTATCAAGTTTCTTAATTCACACATCTTCAGCCTGTGACAACCATCACACAGTCTTTTGATGTAACTGTTATTATTACAGTTATTTTCTAAATATCTTGCATGAAGTGTATTGTGAGTTTTTAATTATGTATCTTTTTACAAGGATACAGGAATTATTGTACAGTATATGAGAGGGAGAAATTTGTTAGACAATTCACTAGAACAAGTCTTTTTCACTCGTTTTTTTCTCATAAATTTAAAGACATTTGCCACATAAACCACAGCTCGTTGACCACTCATTCCACCCTACATACACTCTATCCTGCTATGATGCAGAGAGCCTTGGCAGGATTCTACTCTTCCATTCACAAGCACACCCAGTAATGTCCTAATTTACTTCTCAGTACAATATAAAATGGCTAGTACAGTATACAAGGGAATGCAATCCTCCAAACTGATTGGGAATTTACTGGAGGAGCTTTTGCTTGCTCTGAACTATGGCCCCACTTGACTAAAAGTACAGTACTGTTCTGTAAATATAATTGAATTATTTTATTATTAAATTTTTTTTATCAATTTGTCATCCTCAGTTTTTCCATATTTTATAATATTATTTAGCTATACAATTGTTTTTAAGTTAAAACTGTAAGTGAGCAAAGTTCACTTATTCTTATTTTCAATTAAGATGTAAATCACTCATGCAATGTTACCTTTTTCAGGACGTTAGTAATGCGCGTCTGGCTCAACGTCGGAAAAACAAAAAGTCCTCTACGGATGCCCGTAGCCATTCTTCTACCTCATCCCTCTCCTCTACCTCATCAGCGTCTTCCCTCACCTCTGTTAGAACACCTAGTAAATCAGATCGCTGCAGTTCTTCACTAGGTGCAACCCCAAAGAAGGAAGAAAGTATATTTGACTTTGGAGAAGCAAGAGTCAAGGCATACCTCTCAAGTATAGAGTCCCCCTCAGAAACGTCTTTTCCGGCCACACCAAGTATGGTCCTTACGTTACCAAGTCCGCGGTCCAAAGCCAGTTCAAAAGGCAGTTCTATGGGTTCGTTTGAGTTTTCCAGAGGAGAGAGATATACTGGGCAGTCTTCTAAATCGGACACTTCAGTTGGCTTATCTCCAGATATTAGCTCGCCCAACAGTTCCACGGTGTCTTGTAGAAAACAGGAACAGTGCCTTGCATTTCAAAAACAGTGTGATGTTAGTGAGATGCAGACAGATGTCTCAGATACAAAAATTCCTGAGAGTCTATTAAAGTCTTCTCTTTGTACATTAGGTGATGAATTTTCAGGACCACAAACTAGATCAAGGAAAAGAAAATTAGAAAAAATTTGTGATGCCGATGTGACTGTAGTTAAACATATGTTCAAAGGTAGAAACACTCGTAGTAAGAGATTTGATACTATAGTAATAGATGATTAATGAGAGAGAATTTTAAGGCATTACAAGACACTTTCCAGATTTTGACTAAGAGTATTTTATCTCCTTTAGCTTAAAGCTCAGAGATTGCTTTATTATATACCTAAATGTATATTATATATCCGATCTGATATGTACATACAGATTACATTATTATTATTATTATTATAATTATTATAATTATTATTATTATTATAACAGTTTATGCTCTGAAGTATATGTTATGTAGGATTTAAAATGTGCAATCAGAGAAAATATAAATAAAAATGCACTTCATAATATTACTGTCACTCTCCTGTGTCCTATAAGGTAGTTTTTTACTCATCCTCAGTAATGACTTTCCATGTACACCCGGGGTCTTAAGTCCTCAAGCATTCCTTGCTGAAGCCAGTACTGCCGATGATGCACAATAGATAGCACCCAAACATATAATCGTCCCCCCTCTCTTTAAATCAGCACTGCCCACCTCCCCTTACTCATCGTGAACTACCATTACACATTTTTTGAATAAATGGCTTTGTTCATGTTATTCTTTTCAATCCCACAAAGCTTAGTGAATATGTAAGTTGGCATATATTATGCTATTTATATTCTTCCACCATTTTGTTGAAACATTAAGAAGTGTGTGGAGGTTCCCAGGTAGGGTATCGGTAACTGTTCATGTTATCGTCGACCTTTATTGAGAGGGTTTTAGTATAGGAAAGTAATAAAGTTTGTCGCTGACAAACGGTACTGTTATTTTATATTACAATTGAATTTTGTGAATTCATCATTGCTACCTGTACTTGATATTACTTTCCATTATGCAATATCCCAAAAATAGGATGAAATGACTTACTGTGTATAAAGGACCTAAATACGAAATGCTTAACACACATTTTTGACAGTTTATTCATGATGTATACTTTAATGTGAGGTCCACTCATCCTGTGCATCAATGAACTCTTGGGCATTGAGTTGACAAGGTTCATGCAAATATTGGAGCAATGGTGGATGCCTTCCCACACCCCACGTGCTGTCACCTCTGGAACTTTCCAATTTGCCCTGTCAATTCTCCACTCATTGCACATTATGGACCACAGGTTCTCAATAGGGTTCAGGTTACAACACTTTGCTGGCCAATCCAACACCTCTATTTCAGGATATTGACAAAACCATTCTTGAATAACCCTGGAGGTATGGATAGGATCCCTATCCTGAACAAAGATCACTGTACTGTATCAGGTGCAGGGATGGGCGTGACACAGACTCTTGGTAATAACACTTCCTCCAGGATGTAGATTTACTGGTCTGGTAAAGCATCCAGTAATAGTAACCAGGTCTCCTGGGCCATACACAGAAATCTAGCCTCATAAATTCAAGGATACTCAGCCACTCAATGTCCTGTTGTGAATGTTTTCCTCCACATACCTCATATTTCTCACCCTCCAGGACTGTCTATGCCTTTTTTTCACTGACGAAAATGTTTTTACGTCACTAAATATGACTTTTTTTCAATAATGAACAACTGCACTGAACTGAAGGGCAAACTCTAGCCAACCCTCCTTATGTGCAGCAGTAAGCACATCCTTTTTGGCTGGGGTTTAACAGTGCACTTGCTATTCGTGCAACCATCTCCTGGTCATTTTAGGGTTACAAGGCGATTGTAGGTCCTGAGTTATCTGCAGTGTTGAACCAAGGGAACGAGCATGTGCAGCCCCATGGTGTGTTGGTTTTGCTCCCGTGAGGTGCAGTATGGCCTCCCAGTGACGGATCCAATATCTGACTTGTGTTTTTGCAAAACCGAGTAGCTGTGGCAATTTCTAAGACAGTTCTGCTGGACTCCCACATTCCTATGATTCGACCTTAATCAGCTAAGACTTCCGGCGTATTGGCCCTTCTTGTTGCCATTTCTGCCTAAAATACACAAAAGAAGGATTTCATTAACTCAAAACTCCTGCAACTATATTATGACTTGTATTATAATATTATCATTATATGCAACACTTTCATTATTTCTACAGTTGAATGAGTTTTAATTAAATAAGCTGTAGGTGTGACATAGGGAGATGTGATTGTGTGTGCTGGTGTGGGATTACAGGAGTGCAACTGTATGATTAGGAGTGTGGAAGTCAGTTTGAAAACGATTGTAAGTGTACTATTGAGTGGGGATGATGTGTGTGTGTATGTGTGGGTGTGTGAGAGAGAGACCATAAATGAGTGTGAAACAGCGAATGAGTGCGAGTGGGTGGGTGAGTGCATGTAACATCACACTTACCTTATCAGGAGTGAGGAAGAGTGTGAGGGCAGTAAGGCAGAGCATGTGAAGTAAACTAGAGTATGTGATTTTAAAGAATTCATAAATAGAAGAGAATGAATATCAAGAATAAACCATAATGCAGAATGACCCGAGTTTTTTTTGTGCGTCATTGGCAGTATTGGCTTTAACAAGGGAAGCTCAAGGTCATCAGACCCCGGGTGTACAGTCTCCTCAAAAAGTGTTTCCTTTGCATTCAGAAAGAACTCCTGAAACGAACCCTGTGAGTCCTCTGATTCAGTTTTGATTTTCAACCCGTAGATGGCATGACGCCTCTTACAGTACAAGTTAAACAACACAGCACCTTGATTTTGATTTTGCGCCGGTGTTATATGTAGTGATGATGGATAGTGTTATATGTGTAATGATGGATGGTGTTATATGTAGTGATGATGGATAGTGTTATATGTAGTGATGATGGATGTTATATGTAGTGATGATGGATAGTGTTATATGTAGTGATGATGGATGGTGTTATATGTAGTGATGATGGATGATGTTATATGTAGTGATGATGGATAGTGTTATATGTGTGATGATGGATGGTGTTATATGTAGTGATGACGGATGTTGTTATATGTAGTAATGATGGGTGGTGTTATATGTAGTGATGATGGATAGTGTTATATGTAGTGATGATGGATGGTGTTATATGTAGTGATGATGGATAGTGTTATAGTGATGATGGATGGTGTTATATGTAGTGATGACGGATGATGTTATATGTAGTGATGATGATTTTTGATTTTGATTTGCCGCTTACAGCGGCTACTGTCACCCACACTCATCCTGTGAGCGGTAGCGCAAGGATTACAGAGTAGGGTTTACAAAGGGTCATAATAATTAACCCCGTTGTCAGGATATTATGGCACTGAATGTTACAATATTTCATTTACATTATTTGTTTAGTTCTATACATAAAGGGTAACTTATTCACAAATGCGTGAGTACAGGCGTGTGAGGCAGTATGTCTGGCCTCACACTTTGTTATCATTTACGTGAAGTATTCAAGCACATTGCGTATTTGGTTCTGTACATGAGAATTGATATAGTTACTAAGTGCAAAAAGTGGATACAATCTTAATATGTCGGCTATCTTGCCATTAGAGATGAAGTGTTGTGCCATTTCACATTGTGGACTACCTGTCCCTAGAGGTTCTATCTTCACACAGTCGAGGACGTAGTGTTCAGAGTGTGGCCATATGTATGGCCACACACTTATGACTTGATTTTGTTTACATCTGCTTGAGAACATACTGCCAAGGTACTTATATCTAACCTTAATCTAGCGGTTACAACATCTCGTAATAGTGATCTTGTTACTTGTTCCATATACATGTTTCACTTGATACATCTCATCATGAGTAACTTATGGATCGACTAGTGCCTGTTTGCACTTGTCTGCTTGCGTCAAACTCATCAATAAGTTCTTTCCTAATTACAGTTTTAAGGGTTCTTTTGACAGACCCAAATTATATTCATGGTGTCTTTGTTAGACGCGAGTTTGGCAGGGCATCAACTCTGTCATGTTTTATAGGGCCTATGTGAGAGGGGAATCCTAACAGTTTGACCTTGACACCCCGGTCAACAAGGCACGCATATTTGTGTCTGGCTTCAGAGACAAACGTGACAACCTGAGTCGAGGGTACCAAGGCAAGTAGTGAAGATAGAGAGTCAGTGATGATGAGACTGTCAGTAACAGTGGTTTCAATGAATTTATAGCTGTGAGTATGGCAATTAATTCAGTTTGTAGAGTGGATGCCCAGTTGTTAATTCTAACTCCTTTCTCAATTATATTACCGTCAGGTTGAGTCACAACAACAGCACTTGCAGCCCTCCCACAGGCGGTGTTAAGAGATCAATCAGTGTAGAACTGTAGATGGTCTGTGTGATATTATCATCAGTCTGTAGGTGTGTATGTGTTCAAGAGGTCTCAATTTGGCAGTGTATTGGAGATAAATGCTTTGTATAATTAATTTTTAGGCGGATACGTCGGTATTGTGATATCGGAGGAACTGTCCGCCAGGGTGGCAGGAAGCGCTGTTGTGTCTCAACTTTGTACAGGTGGTCTAGTCAGAACATCTTCATATGTGTAGCTGTAGTTTGGATCCATTTAGACTCAGTAGTCCCATGGTTCCATACATTCTAGCAATTTTAAGGAAACAATGTTATCAGGATCACCACACAGAAGCCTCAGGGCAATCATGAGGTTGACTTCAATTACTCTATCTTTAACACTGGGTATACCTAGTTTTTCCTCATATTAAGTACTTTAGTGCTCATGGGACATCCTAGGATAATTCTGAGGACTTTATTTTGCATTTTATCGAGCTTGTCAACGCCTTTCCTGTCACGAATGACCAGGGCTGGTGCGTGGTAATCTATCAGAGATCTTATATAGCCTAGGTACATTGTTTTAACAATTCTAATATTAGCACCATAGTGCGGGCTGTACCCCACTACACTTCTAAGAGGTCTCAGTCTG